AGGGGGGGGGGGGGAGGAGAGGGGGGGAGGGGGGGGAGAGGGGGGAGAAGAGGAGAGAAAAGGAGGAGGGGAGGAGGGGGAGGGGGAGAGAAGAAGGAGAGAGGAGGGAGGGAGGGGGAGGGGAGGGGAAGAAGGGGAGGGTTACAGATAGAAGCCAAACCATTTCTATATCAGAACATCAGGTGTACCATTTTTCCAAGGAAGCGAACTGCCTCCTATCCCCGATTCGCAGAACCTTTCGAGTGGCGACACAGACCCAGTGCTGCGGATGTGGTGTGATTTATATACTCGCCGCAGCCGCCATTTCTCCTGGGGGCCCAGTAAAGATTTTATGCACTCGATGACAAAGGGCCCGTAAGCCGGACGGTCTCTGTCAGGAACGGCCTACGTAGACAGGCGGAGGGCAGCGATAGGTAACAAGTAGGTATAGGTATTCCTTGATAGTATACCTTAACTAAGACTCAAATGTGAGAGAAGGAAAGGAAAGCTTCCCTGAGGCCGTGAGCATGCGGTGCTTGAATAACAAAGGGGTTGTCACGCGTGTGGTGTGCTTGGGCAGTTCATGACAGATAAGCACGAATGCCCATGCAAGTGCATTTTCATGGGTAATGGATGCCCTATCGACAAAGGATTCACAATGACCGCCACTTTACCCCGTCACTATGAAAATGTCCACGCCAAGGTGCGACGATGGTTTCGTGCCTTGAACGACTGGGACCTACATATTAGAGGCTTTGTCCGGCTCGAACACGTCAAGAGCCACGAGGAACGTGTGCACGACTCCTTTAAACCATCGGAAGATGAGTCGCAGAAGGGCGATCGCAAGCGCAAGCGGGAGAAACGATATAACGAACAGCCGATCAAGAGGCGCAAGAAGGAGAAGAGACACATCAAAACAGAGGTTCCACACATCAAGGAAGAGGTTGAATTAAATGAATAGCTTAGTAACAGAATGTTCCGTGTTCCGTGGTTTCTTTCTTCTCTGAACCCTCTAAGACAGACGCATCAGCCAGACGAAAAAGAAAAAAACAAAGGAGAAAATGAGACCCTCCGCCCATTTACCGCAAGACTGCTCTTCCGCAAGAAATCCGTGTTACCGCCAACGGTGACTTTGGTTCCGTAACACACCAAGATGCCTTGAAACACACCGATGTCTTCGGGCTTCCTCCAGTCTGTTTATTTCAACCTCGGTTTCTTTGTCGCCACCTCTGTGCTGGCTTCGTCGTCCGGGGCGCTGGCTTCTTCGTGCGGGGGGATTTTGGCGACTATACACATAGAGGTCTCTGCAAGGCGACCCGTTGCGACCCCCATTTCCTGCAGAATCAATTAGCCTTCGGGCCCTTCTCATCTCACACACTGAACGTCGCTCGCTCCTGTGCGGAGAAAGCGGGAAAGAGAGGAGATGCAGGCAGGCCTTACGTTGCCTACGGGAGCATAGTGCTTGAGTGTCGGTCCGTTGATCCATTTGACAACGGGGACGTTTAGTAACGTGGACAGTTTCAGACACGTGTAGGTATCCAGGCCCAGTTCACCAAGGACGGCGCATATTGACGCGTCGGTGCCCCTGAGAGAAGCCTCGGCAACACCGGTGGGGTAACTGCCTCTAAGCAGATCTCCAGTTTCGTCGACGTCTGCGAGGTTCGCGACCCCAAGTGGGTATGCGTGTTTGCAGTGGATGCCCAGAGTCCCGCCTGCACGCAAAACAATTAGCCAACATCGTCGCCCGGGGGAGCTGGCGTGCTCGCTTGCGGAGCGCCTTTTGCCCAGGAGGCTGCTCGGGGTAAACCTAGGCATAGGTTCTTGACTTACCGCGTGGCAGCCACTCCGGGTTACTGAGAAGGTCTTGTAGAAGCTTGTATGGTGCAAGGTTGGTAAGGTCCACCGGCGCCGGCTTTGAGGCCAGTCCTAGAAAAGGCTGTGTTTGTAGGCGGGGGTGGAGTGGAGTTCGTTCATGGTGGTACAAGTTGTAAGTCACGATCACGCAGAAGCCGCTGGTGACCTGCGAGATCTCGTGTTCGCAGCCGCTGAGAAAGGCTGCCCAGTGCAGAGCCTTAGACTTTCTTGTCTTGTCACAGTCATACTCGGTGGAGAAACCGGCGTGGTTCACAGTGAGCTCACCGCCCTCATACTCGCTCGGCAGGTATAGAAACAGCGACCCGAACTGATTCTCCGCGGTGGGAATGTCGATTCGCCTCTTGACGGAGCCCGAGTGTCCGGCGTACACCTACCAGAACGCGTACGCCAGTTAGCGCGACCCTCAAAACGTTCACCACCCACTCACGTTAATCTTGTGTAGCTCGGCCCTGACAAAGCCTCCGTTCTTGAGGGCATTGCCCCCCAGGTGGGGGGAATTGGGCAGCAAAAGATGATCGACCCGCTCCACGATCCCCATCGAGTAGGGACATAGGTTGGTAGTCACGCGGGGAGCGTTCAGGGTCCAGGCGTGTCCATCATCGCCTTGCATTCCATCCACGATAGGGTCACAATGTTTCAAAAAGGCCTCGATTGTCATCGTGTAGGCCGTCTCGCTGTACGGCGGGATCGGGAAAGTCACCCTGCTCGACAAGCGGCCCTGTTCGTCCCAGTCGAAGACGATGGGGCTGGGGTCCATTGTTGTCCTCCTCTTGCCCTTTTTCTTCGTCCCTTTTTCTGTGCCGTCGGCCTGGCTCGAAGGAATTCCTTGGGTCCGTGAGACCAAAGTGGCGAAATCAGACAGACGAATGGAGCCGCCGCAAGTCGCGGCAATGGTTGCTCCCGCTTCCGCAAAGTCGGTGAGAGCAACGAAGGGATCGGGAAGGGAGGGATCAGCTGTATCAGGTGTAGAGAGGACATCGGATTCGGCTGGGGCGGTGTCGGGTCGGACAGTCGAGGTCGGTGATGCGGGCTCTCTTTCAGGAGGCATGGTGCTTCGGCGCAGTGCTGTGTGAAGAAATGAAGGGTATACTGCAAGAGTAAGGGGTAGGCTGAAAGGTGGGAATGAATGCTTTTCCTCGCTGGCTTGGCGGAGGTGCACGTCTCTAGATAGGGCAGGTACTCGAGCGTTTGTAAAGTTTACAAGGCATGCATGGTATGACTAGGCAGGGCATTGTTGAGCTGCAGCATCCTTGGTGTTGACGGTTGCCTTTTGGGGGAGCCACATGTAGCTGACAGTTTTGAAAAGTTAAACACAAATAGGGGTGTCTTGAAAGCAGCAACCAGAATGCCGATCATTATGGCCCGGAGCCTGAGAGCCTGCAGTGCGAGAAGCGTGAGCCCAAGTCACACGTGGCATAAGCACTAAGCACTGTCTGCCCTTTCACAGACCCACTGGTTGCCTTTCAACAAGGATGCCCAACAGGTGCAGCTTGAATGTACGCTAGAGCTGTGATGAACCTGTGGCGCGTGGTTATTGGCTTCTTTCGAGCCAGGGTGGGTTTGAGCACGTAAACTGACGTCATCACATTACGAAGAGCGAATAAGAAACGATCGGGGTCAGAAAGCCCGGGGTCCGCGACCCACATTCCGACGGGAAATCGGACTTGAGTTACCCGGGCGGGTCGGTGGTTGGGGCCAAGAATGAGGAAATTGGGTTTTGCAAGGAGGCCCGGCCTGGCCAACATAAACAAAAACAAAGAGGGCGACAACAACTGTTGAGCGAGCGATTTTTTTAGCGTCTACAATAGTCAGGTGGGGTCTCGGCATGGCTCAGTAAACAATTTGTCACCTCTTTTGCAGGAGGAACTGTTGGCATGTGCATAACCTGACGGAATCGACATCGTCACCACTGTTCTGGCCAAAACTTTGATCGATCGTTAGCGTAGTCACTATCGTGATGGCTGTCGTGGCTACTGTCCTGATAGTTCTCCACTGCTCTCTGTCTCTGTCGGAGCACCACTGAGCAATAGAGCCTTCTTCTCTCCCTGGCTCCTCCCAGCCTTGGGAGCACAATAGAGCTAGTTGTTGTCACGTGACCTATCCGTGCCCTGCAGGTTCGCCTCACCACAAAATTAGTAATGTGCGATGCCAAGCCTCAGCTTCACACAAACACCCACAGAAACCGGGCGCCAAGCCTGTGTTGTACCACAGCCCCTAAACAGGGCAAACAGGGCAAACTAGCGAAGGAACGCCCGCGCCCGAACTGGACGGATAAGTAGCGGTGTGCCCTCACACACACTCCTCTTCGCCTCTTCGCCTCTTCAAGGCCTTGGGTCTCTGCATATAGAGGCCATCGCTATCTAGTCTTGGTTTATTCCTTCCATCGACCTATCTAACAGCCTCCGAGCGCTTCTCTTACACCCTCAAGATTTGAGGAACTTTGCTTCTTCACAAACGGTCCTTCCAGCACTAGCTTTTCTCTGCCAACCATGTCACAGCCTTATCTCGAGAAATTGAAGGCCGCAATTGATGTTCCCCCGGACAACCTTGATTTTGGTCTGGTCGAGAAGATAATCCACGAAGCAGGCTTGAGACGCAGCAGGGACGAGCTCGAACTGGCCGTGAAATATCAGGCCAATAGTTTACGTCTGTTCCAATTCCTTCTCGAGTCGTCCCCGGCACTTGACAAGCACACGATATCACACATCTTGCGCAAGCACCTGTCATGTGATGACAATGCCAATTTACTCGTCGCCGCCTTGTTCTTGCCTTACCATCCAGATCTAGACTATCACCCTGAGGAGACTAAAACGACCTTATGGTATCGTTTAGGGGAGAACGATACCGAAGGAGTAAAATGGTTGCTTGATCATGGCGTAAAAGACTTCGATGGTGATGGTATGACTATCTGTGATCTGGTCATCAACAATGGCGATTATGATATGGCGAAACGCATCCTCAATCTACCAGTGCCCATCAACCAACCGGGCTACAACGATTTCACCCCACTACTGGCTGCCGTGGACAACGAGGACCTGCGGATGGTCAAGATAGTGATCGAGGCTGGTGCCGATGTCAACCTCCCCGATCCCACAGGCCGCTGGCCTCTGCACTATGCTGCAGCCCAAATTCATCTCGGCATCGTCCGCAGCCTTTTGGAAAATGGGGCTGATCCTAATCGAGCGACGACATACGGGTTCCGGGCATTGCATTTCGCCAAGGAAGAGAACGTTCGTCAGGCGCTAAAGGAGGCAGGTGGTCGGACTGATTTGGAGCCAGTGCAGGAAACTGACGGTCGCCGGGATTTAGAGGCCTGTCCGATTTGTTGCAACGAGCTAGGAGAAGAAACCTTACGCGTGCTGGTTTGCCACCCGACCCACATTCTCTGTGCTGAATGTCTTCGGGAGATTAGAACAGGTGACCACATGCGCTGCCCATTCTGCAGACGTGGCAGGTTTGGGTGGGTATGAGTTACCCCGATTTTTCCACGCGGCAACGGTGATTGTCACAATGTATCGATACAGTGCATCGTGGTGCTCAAAATGTGTTGGGACTATTCTACTGGGGTAGAGGAAGTTATGTGGCTGACGCACTGTCCCACATCTGCCACATCCTCAGGGCATGGCTTCGGACCGCTTGCTCGAACGGGTTTCCAGCAACTCATCGCCCATCCTGTGTCATCCGTGGTGCCACTGCATCCTTTCTCCCTTCTCATCACGTGAGAGCTTATCCGAATACGATTCTCACCAATCTCGCTTTTCTACACGTTCCGTCGCGCGTATCACCATACGCTTGAGCATGAATAATGGGCATAAGCAAGTGGCCAATCAACGAACCATCCTTTCGCTTGTCCTACCGGTGGGCGCATAATCTCCAATAGGGAAAGGCAAAAACTGCTTACCCCTGTGACACAACACAAGCACCATGCATGAGGCTTGTTTCAAGGGGCTCAACCCATGTTCTTTCACTGTGGGCCTGAACCTAAAGTACTCCCACACTCCTCACTCCCTCACCGCCTCACTCGTTCACTCACGACACGAGCGAGCATGCGAAGCCAACCCAGAGAGTACACGGAGCGTGAGCTCGAGATAGCACACGTCCTGGTGACCTTCCACTTGACGGCAAGGGAAGTGGTTCCAGGTGTGGAAATCGTCTACTACCCCAGCAGGGGTTCAGCGTCCTCCCTCGGTCCCTCACCTCGCTTCCCTCCTCCTACCTCGCCCTGTGTTGAGATGAAGAACAGTACTGCGGATCCTGCATCAATCACCACCGCCCGTCCTGTCAGTTCGACCACCATTGATCCAACTCCCTCGATACATCCAAGATGGGCCTTATCTCCTGTCTGTTAGGAGTGGCAGATGACAGTGACAAAGAATTGAGGGCGGCGCGCCTTGTCTTCCCAGACAGGATCAACGCTGAAGACACACCGCTCACGGCAGCCACCCTCTCGTCGAACAGCACCTCGATCTCTATCCACGACCGTGTGGCGTCCAAGTCCTCTTTCTCCCTTGTAAGAAAGATGGGATGCCATATAGACATGGCGGTGAGCTCGGTGCAACGGCTCTTCGGCGTACGAGGGAGGTGTGATTATGCCACGGTCCCCGAGACACTGTGAGGAGTGGCTGTAAATGTCAACAGCGGGGCTCGGGAAGGAGTACAGTCATCCACAAGTCCGTGCTACCGCCCTTGGTATATAAAGGCTAGACCAGCCCCCCTTCTGAGCCGCCGACATCCTCTCCACTTTCACCATCGATTGCGTCATCACCCCCACGCGTATCGAGTCCCTAAACCCGAGAGCACCACGAAAACATGCCCCTCGAGAAACGAGTTTCCATCGACCAACCTACCTATCCTCTCCTCGTCGTCGCACACGATGCCCACAAGCCTCTGCCGCCCGCACACATCTTGGACATACTTTACACTGGGTCGGTGGAGATGTATGAGGATGGTGTAAAGGAGGAGGAGGAGGACGCGGGGAACACAAAGAAGACGAGCGCGATGGGAAGAGGGGTGGGCCAGATCACGGAGCGCTCTGGCAGCAACAGCGGCGGTGAGCAAATCAGGGGCATCGTCCCGCGTCCGCCCTCAGACTTACGGCTCTGCTCTGTTGTTGTTGCCCTTACCGCCTTTTTCATTTACGCACGTCAATATCTGGGGCGAGTCTGCCTCCTTGGTTCGTCCTGCCTCCTTTATCTTACGTTTGTGCTTGCTGTACCCTCCCGGACGGCTTGAAATCCAAATTCGAGGATTTCGGTTTACGAAGTTCTTTCTACAGCTGTGGCGAACGGCGCTTCCGAATATGGATCGACATCAACCCTCGCCTGCGATTGATCACGCGGCGAGCCATTGAGCTCACTCTTCTACATCTACTTCACATTGGACGGGTTACGCACAGCGAGATGGAGTTTCTATCATAGCGTACGAGAAGGGGAAAGTACTCCGATCGGCCAGGTACGATCATAGAGCGGAGGAGGACGCTTCCCTGGACGTTGACTTGGTCTTCGCCGTCTCCGCCGTGGCCTTTACGCAGTTCATGGACCCCGAATCGATTCAAAACCTTGGACGCACCGTCCGCCGCGTCCCAGGTAGAGACCGCATCCATCAGGTGGTCAAGGTCAACGACACGAGGCTCTTCAGAGAAACTGCCATCCCGGCACTGTGGCTCAAAATCCTCCATCCCCACACTTCAGGTACGAGTCCAAAGACCGTCGAGTCCTCGATCCGTTTTCCATGCTCCAAGAAGCAGGATGACCGAGAGTATCATGGCTACACCAATCTTCAAGATCACTGCCTACCAGCCCACAACCCAACCGTCGAGAGATTTACTGCGGAGACAAGTCAAGGTCACCACCGGCACTACAATATGATTCCCATCATTCATGACCAGCGGCTTTCCGTCGTCTCGACTTCTCATCTTTCTTGTGTTATCCAGGCCCGTCGACCGCCGAGCCAGGAGAAGAAGCGTGGGTCCAACCTCTTTCTTCTTTTCTACAGAAGCCAACCCAGATTCGGATGAAGATTGTACCGGGCAAATTCTCCATGACCGTCATTCGATACGAGCGCTGTCAACCGAGAAGTTGGCCGAGACTGGCCTCAGTTGGCTCAGCCAAGGCAACACACCTATGCCAGGCACACCCGCTGACAACAAGAACATGGTCCTTTCCGGCACAAGCGCCATGTGATCCAGAACGACTATCGCTTCGGATGCCACGAGCATCACTTGACGCACCACCCGCGCCAGATCAATCCATGAACTCGACCACCACAGACGCGTCGACTACCGTTACCACTGCCACATCAGCAGCGGAGGAAGAGCTGATATTGAACCCGAAATCGTTACATACCGCAAGCATCGATATCAACGATGATGTTCGCCAATTGGGCTGCACCGGCGTTGACTCCTGCGGAAGAGAAAGCACCAGCTTGCGTGATGAGTGACAACTAGCCGCTCGTGGCTTCGAGGTGGATGTACAGTTTGAGACATGTCGGATGGCACGGGAGAACGGAGCCGCGCATATCATGGAGGTCATTCTACATAGGTAGATAGACAGCTAGTCTATTTCGTTCAAATTAAGAGAGCATTTGCCACGTTAAAGACCCTGAGTCTCATGTCCTTCTCGTCGATGACTACCGCGGTTGAAACCGTAGCTGACCACTGTCCATGTAGAGTACTGGGGTGTATAAAGACAGTGTTTACACTAGTCGAGGTGAGAGCCTCCAAGCGCAGTATGTCCAGCCAGACTTATCATGTTCTTCCGCATAGGTCGTATGATTTTCTCTCTCTATCTCTCTCTCTCTCTCTCTCTCTCTCTCTCTCTCTCTCTCTCTCTCTCTCTGTGCATGGCATATCTCCCACATACCTGAATAGTCCGGAATTGCCACCACTCGCACCCCTTTCCCCTCCCAGTTCCGAGACGTTCCCGGCCGGGAATATAGGTCTCAAACACCGAGATTGTCTACCGTGCAGAGTAAGCAGTCCAGGGTGTGGCTCGCTCCGCCCCCTCTGGAACAGAAGAATGGAATCTCATTCAGCTTTCATCCCATCCATCCACGCGTCGTTCATTTGGGAGTTGTTCTCGCCTCTTGAACAGCCCTTTGACAGGCTCCTTCGGCCGAGAGATATCATGGCTCCCCAACCGTCTCCTGTGTTGCCCCTGGGCCGCCCATCTTCAGCCTGGTCGCCACAGCCCTCTCTCTCTCTCTCTCTCTCTCGACCCTCGATCCCGTCTTTCCGCTGACACAGCCCTGCAAACTCGTTTGTCTCCCTGGCCGCACCGAAGCTCGGAAGGATCACCTTGTCCGCTGCGCCTCGTCCTGTTTACCGTCCGTTTTGAGACGCCAGGCTCGTGGTCCAAGTCCGTGGAGGATCTATATTGGCTCCAGCTGTTGGGAGGTAAGCAAACAAGGCCTCGGCGACTATGCCCAGCTCGGAGGGGACACGGCATGCACGTACTCACCATTGGCCGTATAGCGCCGTCTAATGACGAAGCCGACACAACAAGCGAATGGGATGCGAAAGCCGACAGCACAGACCACTCAACCAAGCCCGTACCACGCATCGTCAAGGTCGCATCGAGCATCGCCAAAGCTCCATCGACCATCTGTGAAGCCGTACTTTTCCATGTCTGGAACGTGATCTTTGCAGTCGGTATCTTTCTTCTGCTGGTACGTGCCAGGACGACAGAGACGACGAAGGTGCTGGAGAAGACAGATGCGTATGAAGGCCATGTGGACAAGCGTGGGGTGTTTTCTTTTGGGGATTGTTTCGAGAGAGCCTGGTTCTGTCGAGGGCTCAGGATTGAGGACGCCACAGTCGCCCTGCCTGGCATATGCAGGTCCATTCCAGGGGGAAGTGAACCCGTGGCTGTGCCCCCAGAAGCTCTCACATCGTCACAGCTTCTTAACTTACTAGATATCACATATTTTTCGCTTCCTCTTCGTCTTCTCCATCTCCTCTGCTTTCTATGTATTAGCGAGCTGTATCAGCCTCATGGGACATAATGATGTAGCTTGTGCTTTACTCACCAGGTTTTGGGAACCGTCCCTGCGACCCCGATGGCGCCTTTCGACGAGGGATCCCGGGCTGCTCGCTCGTGTCATATGTCCCGGCCAGCCTCGTCCCGCTCTACCAAGTCGACTCTTTGGCCGCCATGGAATTCCCCCCCGTAATCCGTGCAGAGCGGTTGGACTCGAAACATTTGGTTGCAGCAGTCTTGTCGGCATCCCTTGGTACAATCTTGCGTTTCCTCCTCGCATGGCCCGGCGTTTTTGTACCGGCTACTAGTTTTTCGGGTCTGCGTGTCGCTGCCGGAGGAAGGACAGCAGGCTCCTCGGGGGTTAATTCATCGACATCGTCGATAAACTGGTAGGAATCGAGATCGATTCTAGCCGTCCAGCTCGGATCGACTCGGAATGGCGACGCATAATCGTGTCGTGCGTTTAGGGGAAGTCTTTTGGCCTGTTTTCATGAACGGTGTGAGCATAAAATTTCGACGTTCGAGTCAAACATGCCTTTATCTGAGGCGTTCCCAGTCGTCCTCGACCTCATCCTTGTCCACGCTGCCGTCCTTGTCCGTGCCCTCGTCCGCGCCAGGTCCCTTACTTGGGGGCTCTCCAGCGCTTGATAGCCTTGGTGGTGCTCTCCATCCCTGGGATGTTGTCGAGCGCGCCCTCGCTCAGCTGGACCCTGGCCTGCGGGTCCGTGGCTGCGGCGGCGTCCGGACCTGCGTCGCAGCCCGTCGTGCCTTGCGCGTCGTCTCCGCCGAGGCCTCGGTCGGCTCGGCCTCGTGGGTACTCGATGGCTTCTCAGCAGCCGCGGTGGCCTTCCCGGAACCGATGGCCTTGTCCAGCTCCATATGATAAACGAAATCGGCTCATTGTCGTCGCCGTACTCTGATACTGAACTGGGGCGAGGCTCTTAGCCAGAGGTATCAACTCGTACGGCGGTGGGCATGGTGATAGGGGTAACGGCTGTCGTACAGTAATAACAACAATAGCATAGAAGGTCTTGATCAGGTCGATCCCGTAAGTTGATAGATAACAGTCTTGATTTCTTGAATCCCCCTTGAGGGATCTGTTAGGAAAGAAAAGAGAATCTCCGACCCAATGCCTGAGATCCCACCAACCAATGACCGAGAGTGTCAGCCTGTACATTGTACAGGCAATTTCCACCAATCACGTTCCAGCCTGCATTCCTCCCCATTACAATACCGTGCTGGGTACCACGGCCGGGACGGTCACGACTTCCGGTGCCACTTCGGCGTCGACGTGGCTGAAGCTGTTTATGTCCATCCTTCCTTCCATGCTGCCGAAATCGAGAGGGAGAGAAAGAGAGCAGAAAGGACAGAGGAGAGACTGAAAGAGGAGAGACTGAAAGAGGAGAGACTGAAAGAGGAGAGACTGAAAGAGGAAGAGAAGGAAACCAATGTTACTACGAACGTGGCTACAGCTGTCGACGAGAAGGCCGAGGGCCACGCGGAGGAGTTCAGTGCAGCAGCCCACGACATTCCGGAAGGGGGCCAAACCGCTGACACAACTGAACAGTAACCTGCGCAATCCGAGCGTCGGGCTTCGGGACGGATGAGGCCCCAGGCACGCTGATCCAGCAGCATCCCTCCTCGTCGGTCTCGAAGACAAAGAAGGGGCCGATAAGCTGGACAGCCAGGCGTAAAAGCTGGGTTGACCGAGCGTGATACGTCTCGACGTCCTGGACATAGTTGCTGCGAACCTGTATCTCGTCGTAGTCGTATTTCGAGTTTGTGAACCAGCCTTTGAGGAAGAGAGGCGGATCACGAAGCAGCCCTTCCTGCCTTTGCACTTCTGCCTCTTCGGCTTCTTTGGCTTCGTCGGGGCGTCTTGCTGTCGCGCATCCTCTCTTTCGTCCTCGTACCTCTCCACCTCTACCAGTGATGCCTTCAATCCTCCTGTCTCTTTCATCTCATCTTCTGCCGGTGGTGCCTCCACGGCTTCTCTCTTCGTCTCCTCCTCTTCCTGTGATTCACTCTTCGACTCAGAGACCGCTAAAATGCCATAGGCCGCCTCATTCTCTGACTCGGAATCCGTTAGGAAGCCATTCTCTGCTTTACTGTCCGTCCCTGAATCCGTCAGAGATATCTCCTGCGGTTGTACCATGGCTGGTTCCTAGTCGGTCTATACGGCTGGTTCTTCGACAGTCTGCACGGCCGCAAGGATAGCCTCAGGGGCGGGTGGGCAGGCAACAACCACGGCGTCCTCGGTAGGTTTTGTCACGGGGCTCAGGCTCAACCCCTCTGGCAAAGAATAATCCCGAAAGCAGAGTGTGTTGCGGCAGTAGGTTAGCGCACATCTACTCCTGGTCCGGTGTGTCTTGGTAATCCTGTCTTTCTCGTGTGCGGTATCACTAGTCGTCGTCTCTTCTGTTGCGACCGTGGACTCTTCCGGTGTGACCATGTCCTCTTCTGCTGTGATCTGAGTCCCTTCCAGGGTGTACAGTGTCTTCCGTCGTAGCCGTGGCCTCTTCTGTGCTCGTAGTCTCTCCTGGGGTAATTGTACTGTCGTCCGTGGCGACTGTACATTCTTCTGGAGTGGCCGTAGCATCTTCAGCTGTAGCCTCTCCCACCGTGGAGAGCAGCAGTGTACTAGTAGTAAGCAGGCAGTAGTGGACGAGTAGTGGACGAGTAGCGGACGAGTAGCGGCAGGCTCTCTGCAACAAAAGGCTAACTGACAGTAAACGGGTGGTATGAGGAGCATGCTCGTATGGTACGAGCAGGAGGGGGGTGCAGACTGCTACTAGTCGTATGGTACGAGTAGGAGGAAGGGGGTGAGGACTGCTGCTGGTCGTAGGGTACGAGTAGGAGGAGGTGGTGCTAGTCGTATGGTACGAGTAGGACGAGGGGGGAAGGCCTGCTGCTACTCGTACCGTACGACTAGGAGGAGGGGGTGCTGGTCGTATGGTACGAGCATGAGGGGGGGTGAGGACTGCTGCTACTCGTATGGTACGACTAGGAAGAGGGTACGAGTAGGAGGGGGGCCCTGGTGCTAGTCGTATGGCACGAGCAGGAGGAGGGGGTTAGGACTACTGCTAGTCGTATGGTACGAGTAGGAAGAGGGTACGAGCAGGAGGGGGGAGGCAGGAGCCAAGGGCGAGGCCCGCTGCTGGTTGTACGTAAGACCTGCACAGATTCTGGCCCCATTGACGTCACTACATGTATCTACCTCCTCCAAGAGGTAGGAGACCACGGTGCGGATCAACTCGATCGTTACGTCATGAATGTCCTTCGCGTTGGCCATGGCGTCGAAATTCGTGCGGTCCTCGGCCGTTACAAGGTCGGGGCCCTACGTCGTCATCATCGGGCTCCATCTTTTATTGGTAAGCGGAATTCTCAGTAGCGACTAGCATAGTAAGAGGGAGGCCAAGCTGGGGGCTACAAGTGGTCAATTAGAGACGGGAGTAGATCAATCTATAGGGCCGGCACATATCTTGGACAACTTCTGGATGTCGTGGCAGATGCACCAATCTTGATCTTCTTCAGTGCCGCGTAGACAGTCTGAAGGTGATCGTTCCTCCTATCCTTGCAGCCTTTTCCCCTGAGGATCTCGGGCTCTAGGGAAGCGAGAATCAGATGGGAAACAGCGGTAAGGAAGTGGTCTTTATCGGTCTGGGGGTCGCTAGCTAGCTTCTCGGCTTCCTCCTCATTCCGGGCAACAATCGGTTTGATAAGGGTCGACACGGACTCCCGCGCGGCGAAAACCGGGGCTTTCACGACGAGGGACTTGGTGTAGTAGAAAAGATGGGACACAGTGGCGTGGAATTGTTCGTCAGGCGAAATTCGAGTCCGGGGCTGCGCTAGAATGGCCAGGTAGTGGTAGATGCGGCCGATCGAGGGGTCCTTGCTTTGACATCGAGTGTACTCCTCTTTGGAAATGTCTCCCTAGCGCTGCCGACACGTTGGGGTGCTGCGATGCCAGGAAAACGTCGTGGTGTTCCGTGTCGTAATGTGCGGTGAGGCGTAGTGAAAGCCTGTATCTGCTCCCCATTGAGACTTCGGATCCATTGGACATCGACCAGCAGCTAGTATTCCTTGCCCACCTTTTTATCCAGACTCTGGTCATCCAGCTCCCTGAATTCGACAAGGACCGGCAGTTTAGTCTTGGGCTTTTTCTTGGACTGAGACTTCGTCTTCTGGTGAGGGTAGTAGTGTCGATTGCCGTGTCTACCGCGTTCTTACCCGAATCCTCAGGGGCAACACCAGCCTCCTCAGGAGAGGCCTGCGGCTCTTGCGACGGATAGATTGACGTCCTGGGCTGATTCCTGCTGGGTAACGGCAGCCTCGTCGAGAGCGACATCTGCATTTTCGTCCGCCACCTCGGTAGATATTTTCTCATGACCGGTCTTGTGGCGATCCGCCTCCTCCCCCTCGTGAGTTATCTCCTCGAAAGCGCCCCCAGCCTCCGCCTTCTTGGAAGCTGTCTCCTCGGGAGCGGTCTCGATGGGAGCCGCCTGCTGTGTGTCATCTGGCGTTTCATCCACACTGGTCGGCGCCGCCTCGGGGTCGGGATTCGAGTCCTTGTTGTCTTCTTTTGAATGGGAGGCCTCCTGCTCTGCTTTCTCTTTTGGCGCTTTCCACGTCTCGCAAGATTGTGTCGACCAACTCGTTCCCGATAGCGAAAAAGTATTTTCCGTCCATCACCTTCTGGCGACCCTCTCCACCGATTTCCGCCGTTGTGACCGCGGCTATTTCATCGTACTCAGGCCGTCCAAGTTCCTTGGCACGCAACTCCAGAGCCACCTGGAATCCAAGCAGACAATCCGCGGGGCTGCTAACCTGAGGAGCAGGCTTTTGTGGGGATGGGCAGAGGCCTCCTCCGAGGTCGCAGGACAGTCTTTAGAGGTAGTGGCCGGACAGAGTATCTGTGGTCGTGGACTGGCTGTCTCATCGTCCGTATCATCCGCTTCGGTATTCTCACGGCTTTCGATATGCCGGGCATCGTTCTCGTCGCACGGAGGAGACTGCGATGATGCGCCAACAGTCTTGAGACACGGCGAGGCCTCAGGGTTTTTCGGACCACCACCCATGGTGGGAGATGAATAGGAGCCCACTATTGCCCTAACCCTATTTGGAATGTTAGCCGAATAATTGACTCTACCCCACATAATAAAGTCTAACCAATAAGGTTATTCAACCCACACGAGGTGACCGAGAGCGCTTCCCCGCCGTCGATCGGATGAGTACCGCTTAAACGGTGCATTGCAGGACCTGGGGCAACGCGCCGCACGGTGAGCTGGTTGTCGAGATATGCCAGCAGGGAAAGGAGGTAAGGGGGCAGGTTCGGATATGGCCCCTTTCCCCTTTCCGCTCTCCCTGTGTCCCTATATAGCCAACCGACGACGACGACGATGATAAGCGCGAGGATGATGAGAGCATGTCACCTCATTCAAACTCATCGAGTTTCACCAGTCTCGCGGATACCTACCACAAGGATGCCGGCGAACATGATGCCGAAGAGAGAACGAAAGAGGACCTCTTTGTCAAAGCGGTTGACATCAGTGACAGCAGCTCGGACCAGTCTTGGGGGGAAGTCTGAGGAGAGCGACGCAATTTTCACACTTTTCGGTTTCAAGTCGGCCAACAAAGATATCCCCTTTCGCCCACACTTGTACTCACTGCTCACTCCCAAGAAAGCCGAACTTGAGGCCGAGCATACAGCATTCGCCCGTCAAGCGACCCGCTCTCTCTGATCGACCGCCACCCAATGTCCAGACGCAGACATTGTCGCTGGACAACAAACAAGGCATCACGGCCGTCTATTTAGCCAGTGACGGCCAGGAGCTCATCATGTTTCGGGACAAACCCTTCCCCGCGCCACCGTGTCGTTTCACGGCTCCTCCATTGTCTGTGAGGATTACACAAGGGCGGCCCGTCCTGTCACGCTGTCCCCGGACCTGAAATCGTGGGGCATTCTTGAAGACGGGCAGCAACAGACAAGCTCTCTCGAAGAAGCGTCTCCTCTCGGATTGAAGTACGACGACATCCAATTTACCGCCACGCAGGTGGCCTTGTTCGACACCGCCATCGAAGAGGAGTTTCTTCCCATGTTCATGGAGTCTCTGGGGGAGTTTGGGGAGGAAGCGGGAGGCCTTGGTCCGTTGGTGCGCCAGAACGCCAACGCATTTTCTTGGGAAAAGACCCGTGCTCATTCCCAAGATTGAAGGGGCCCTCTATCGCGCGCATGAGGATCTCCGCGTGAATGGGTGGCCCGATGCCCCCGTCACATCCATGTACTCCTCCATGCAGAATCCTGACGACGAGGACGAGAGTCCAGTGGTCGAGCTGCAAAGGCATGCCGCGAGAGTGGGCGGCCATCGGACAACGACCCCGACGTGGAGGGGCGGCAGCAGTGAACGCTGAGACCGAGCACCCCTGTATCACCTGCCCCTGGCGTGGCGTCTCTAGCCAGCCCTTCACTTGGCCGGAAACGTCGCCGTGACGAGGAAGGACATTGAGGGGGGACGACATGAACGCGGATCCCTGTTACTCAAGCGATGGCTCAAGATGCTCGGTGGCCAAGCGGCACATGCGGAATGCTCGATCACGGGTTCAAAATGGTCAATTGGGTGAAGTGAGAGCTGCCAGGATGAGTTCATGCGGGTGTTTCTCCAGGATATCGCAAGCGCCAACCGCCTCAGGTGTCGAGATACAGCCGGTGTGCTAGCAGATGATACTAGCTCTGGGCCTTTGCAGGTTCGTCGTTTGCCCATTGAGCGGTGGAAAGCACTTGGAGCCTTTCGGTTGATTAGTCCATAAGAGTTTGTCTTGCGCCCTGGTGTTTCTCCATGAGCCTGTATATTCAACGAGGGTGCAGTTCAACTTCACCGACTTTTGAAATGTACCTTGACTTTCCGCGGGACTGCTCTGTCCTCTCTGCTCGTACAACGTCCTCATCCTCCCCGATCTGCTGTCCCTACCTGCTCCTCATCCTACCCCCAGAACTGGGGGGTTGTCGACACTGGGGGGAACCTCTGCCCTACAACAACAAACAGGGTGTTTGGGCCAACGGAGATCCTCCTTGGACAACACAGAGCTGCCAAGCCGAAGAATGGTCACCTCCAGACCGTCTGCCTCATCTACCCATGATTAGTGCAGCGGCTTGTTGTGGGCAAAAGGATGGCTGCTTCTTATCAATTGGAAAAAGTCCGATGATCCTTCAAATCAACGAGGTGGATGCCGTTTTCCATGGCCGAGACTAATCTGGTTCCGTGGCGATGATCCTTCCAGTTTTCAAATCCGGACAATGAGGCCCATTTTCCCCCTTCTTTTCCCCCGCCTGCTCGGCCAATGTGAAGCCGACGTTTTGTGTATAGGGGAAGGTCTCTTGACACACCACACACCATGAACTGCACGGCATGGCAAGGGGTCCGCCACGGCCTTTTCGCAATGGATCTAGGGCGACGACTCCAACACCGTTTAGGACTCTTGGTATATTTCGCTTGATAGGGCTAGCCTCGTTCTAGCAAAGACGGGAATCTACTCCGACTCCTCGTAACGCCGCTTTCGGCCTGGTGGTCGTACTTATTCCCTCGGGGCCGTAAGGACGCCAATATACAGTACCTAGGAATCCTGAAGGGCGGAGCTGTGACTATTGTCGATTGGCTCTGGGATAGGGAGTCCCGCCGGCTTCTAGGATATATACTCGTCCGTGTTGGGCAGCTGGTGGAAACGGGCTTTCGAATGAGGCGGTCTATCTGTCGTCTTCGAGACCTGTTTGAGCCCTGACGGGGAATGTGAGGAATGGGCTAGGAAGTAGGCAGACTAAGTGAATAGAAGAGGTAATCCAGTGTGTTGGGTATTCCTTGACTTCGAGCCGTGTAGCGACTCAAAGCATGGCAGAAGGAGGCCTCCCTCATGCGGGTCGCACGCTATCTATATAGGGGTGTCACTCTTGGTTGGACCTCGGGTAATGTCAGGAGACCTCGGACAATCCTCGGAGGTCTTGGCAAACCGTAGGAGGTACGGCTTCGCCTATAGCCCTTCAGTCATTCATGACAGGGAACATGATGGCTATGTGGGGCTTTTCCACTTCGGAATAAGATCCAGAGGATAACGAGAAACCTAACGACGGCCGTTATCTCGTCCTATTGGCTGGAACTATTGTCGAGGACTTGCCGGCCTACACAGAAGGTCCCGGGTAGATCGAGGATCACCGGAGTACGCGCGCCGGCCGTTAAGCCGCGTCACATCTTCGGTGCATCGGATCCAAGAAAACTCTACTGGGTCTCGCCGTCTCGGAATCTCTCTAGCCTCCTCCACGACTACGACAGACCATTGTGGGACCAGTCATGCCGATCACATGAGGCCGTCTAGCTCGAGAAGGTGTCATTTTTTGCCGCCGAGAAAAGACCAGTCCACGCGTCCAAGGGCGATATTCGACGTCGCCGTGCCAAAGCAAGACGACAACGCCGACGTGTATTCTCGCCATGACACATCCAGAAGTGCCCGAGAGGGGCCAGCTGGAGCAACCCCACATAAAAATCAGGCGGGCATCACTGCCCGAGACTGGATGGGAGGTTAACCAGAAGCGATGGGCAGTAACCTATATTAGTAGAGGCTTGAGATAGCAGACACGCTGGACATGGAAACAACACAATCGGGGCAACACCACAGTCAGATACTTGTATTTCCTCCACGCTCGTACACAGGTCGAGCTGGCGAGCGACCCAGGGCAGCAAGAGTTGGGTTTGAGGGTGCTTCATGCTGTGGATTACTTACCACAGACTTTTCTGCCATAACTGTCCTTGTGTCCTCCACGACCTCGCCGTGTGACTACAGCTTAAAGCATCAAGAAATCCTTTCAACGTAAAAGAAAGAAAAAAAAGAACTTCCCACCGTCCACCGACAACCACGCTCCTCCGCGCAACACGTGTTGCTGCTTCCCGGAAATTAATCAGACTCTGTGGAAGACCAACGGACACCATCCAACCAGCTGCCCTAAAATGGTGGGTAAAAAAGAACAGCAGCAATTCGACGTTGGGGGGCCGAGCGTGTCGATCGGTGCTGTGCAGCGGAGGAAAGTCGAACGAGTTAGTGCAGAGCATAAAGGGAGTGAAACGCAACGCAGGCGGCAGCATTAATTAATGCGTGATTAGAAGGTTGTACGGCGGAGTATGGGTTGCTCGAGACGTAGTCTAGGCAACAGCATTGCGACGTTGAAGGTTTAGTAGACTGAGCTAGTGCGGAGCGTACAGGGCGTGGCACGCAGCGCATTTCTATGGCGGGGCACTGATAGCTTGAAACGCAGTCTAGGCAGCAGCATTTCGACATTGGGGGTAAGTAGACCGAGCGTGTCGGTGTAGCGGAGGAGAGTAGAACGAGTTAGTGCGGAGCACAAAGGAAATGAAACGCAGTCTAGGCAACAGCATTTCGAGGCAAGTACAGCGAGCGCTGACAAATCTAACTGTTGGAATTCCAATTTCTACCTTACGCAATGAAGTCGTCAAAAGCCTCTATAAGAGGCAGATCCGGGTCGTCACCCGGATCCGCGTTGGCGCGCGCGTTGGCGCGGGCGGGGGCGGGTGCGCGCATCTGGTTTTGCAACCGATTTGCCACGGGCGCCGGCTGCTGTAAGAATGGCCGGAGCAGCTGTTGTGGACGCCAGAAACCATCCCACTCATTGGCATCCCCCATATTGTCGTTGTCATTCTGGGGCCTTTGCAACGGCGGGAGCTGCGCAGGCAATTGGTCGACAGGATTCTGGTAGAATCGCCGTAGCATGTCATCCCGCGCAGCAGCAATTTGCTGTTCGCTATTCGGAGGCAGCGGTGGGAGAGTGTTTCGGCGCTGCTGGTGCTGCCGGAGCTGCTGCTGGCGCTGGTGGTGCTCCTGCTGGCGCTGGAAGTGCTCCTGCTGGCGCTGCTGTTGCTCCTGCTGGCGCTGGAAGTGCTCCTGCTGGCGCTGCTGTTGCTCCTGCTGGCGCTGGAAGTGCTCCTGCTGGCGCTGCTGGCGCTGCAGGTGCTGCAGTTGCTGCAGTTGCTGCTGATGTATCCGTGCCTGGTTGGGCTCCACGCGCGGTAGTTGCCGCTGTCCGCCTCCGCCTTGCCCCCTTCTGTCTTCCCCGCCCCTGTCGTTGCCGGGTGGCGGCTGTGCGGGTTGTCGGGGGGGTGCGGGTTGACCAAGGGCCGCCAACCAGGCCACTGGTTGCTGCCACGGAGCAGGATGGCCAATTTTCCCCGCGTCCCTCATTTCGCTCGTCCATGTAATTTCTTCCGCATCCCAGAGTTCAGCGAGGATCTTCAGTAGCTCATCTTTGAAGACGTTGGGAAGCCGATTGATCTCAAACTTCTTTTTCGTGATGGCCAGGGCCCGGTTGAAGCAGTGAAGTTGTCCCACGTTGCTATACTTGGGGCATTTCCCTCGAATGGGAAAGACCCCCGACTCGTCGACCGGAGCGAAATGCCCATAGGCAATGGGAAGAACCAGTCCTGACCACCGTCGATAGTCTGTCACCCGCAGTTCTGCTTGATAGTCACGCGGGATGATGGTCTCGCCACAATAGTAGCTGCGTATCAAGCGCGTTAGTTCGGAAGATTGCAGCAGGCCAGGCTTGAGGAAAGAAGAGGTTATGCCGGGAAGAGTCTCCTTACCATTGATAGTTGAAGCATCTGTTATTGGTGCAAACGACCTTGTTGCACCCATCCTGAAGCTCCAGGGGAATACCGCATTCACTAGAGGTGGGACCTGTCAGCTGTCCATCATTTTTCGGTCATGGGGTGTGCCATCAACTCACTTGCAAGTCCGAATCACGGCGGCCGACATGGCGTCGTCCAGCATCTTCTTCAGCTGTTCCGCCTGCTTCTGCCTGTCCGGATCCAACGTCATCCTCTGGGCCTCGTCACACGTCTGGTCCTCATGCCACAACTTGCGACACTTTCGGCAGCTGATCTTCGAACACTCTGGATTCTCACAGTAGAATATCGGATGAGCGTCCTGGTCCGGAAGCTGTGTGTAGTCGGCGAGATATGGGCAAAAAGGGCAGGCTTCGAGGCCCTCGACCGCCCCGACGTCGTTATCCGCCAATCTCTCATAGGCCTCGGGATCGTACGCCGGGTTATCCTTGCCGTCGAGCGTTCTTTGGTTGAGAAAGCCGAACTGTTCCGCCGAAAATACCTCAGGACACTGAAAACCCCCGCATTTGACTCGTGCCCCTAAATCCCGACGAGCCGTATGGAGGAAGCACGAGTGGCAAAAGGCGTGTTGCTCTTGGGCCTGACAACAGACGACCTCTTTCTTCTGGAAATCATCCATGCAAATGACACTGAACTGTTAGACCCTGACATGGGAATTCTCACGCTGGAGTTGAGAACATACCATGAAAAGATGGGGCCTTCCTGGGCTGGTTGGTCAGGGGCGTCTGCTTCTCTGGCTTCTTCTTCTTCTTCTTCATGGCCGTATGGATCTCTCGCTTCTTCTTCTTCTTCTTGGCCGTATGGGTCTCTCGCTTCTTCTTCTGGTTCTTCTTGGCCATATGGGTCTCTCGCTTCTTCTTCTTCTTCTTCTTCTCCTTCTTCTCGGCCGTATGGGTCTCTCTCTTCTTCTGGCCCGTCTGCTGTATCAACTGATTCTGCGTCGGGAACGTGTGTCAGTCATCTCGCACTCCATCGACATACTAATAAGGCGCCACCCACATACCTTGAACACTTTGGGCTTCGTCGTCATAAATCTTCAGAAGGTACCTCTTGACAGCGTCAATCTCGTCTTGGACCCTTGGACCTATCGTCAGAGCCTTGTCGGCATCGTGACTTGCTCGCAGTTTGGGGAGCAACGATCGCTTTGCATCATCTTCGGCCCATTCGTACAGCTCGACGAAGACTTCAAAAATTGTCTTTCCTGTCATTGATTTGCCGATCCTCATGGGCGTGATGTCGTATATTTCCTTGAAAGCTTTCTGCAGAGCCTTGCCACTGTAAGAGGCATCCATGGTTAGCACTTCTCATCGCTTCCTCGACAAGTAACCGACGGTACATACTCTCTTTTTTGCTGATATTGGCTGCGCTTCTCAAGGAGGCTTTGGCCTTGATAGTGCTTGATCACTCTGTCTTCTGCCCCTTCTGGGTCTTCTGGGTCGTTGTCTGGAGCGGCCTCTGCCGCGACATCACCCGCAGGAACATCGTCTGCCGCCACAGCGTCGTCAATGTTGACGTGGGCGTCCTCGGGCGGGGGAGAGACTTCGTCGTCGTCTTCCAGTACGACCTCTTCCCGCTGTCGCCGCCTTACGTTCTTCGCAGGCCTTTCCTCCACTTCGGCGTCCGTCTCTTCGGCGTCCTCCTCTTCGGCGCCGTGTCTTGGCCGCTTCGGGGCCCTCCGCTCTTGTCTCCTCCTCACTCTTTCAAACCGCCGGTTGAGCTGTTCGGCCAGCTCATTCAACCAAGGCTTGGTCCATTCGCCTTGGTTTTCGGCGAGGAGATATTGCAACGTCTCCGGCGTTGCATCTGGTATGGCGTCCGCCAACAGGTCGAAGGCGTCGAAGAAGGACAATGGTTGTTCGAGGGCTGCCATGTTCAAAGACGATTCGGGGGGGGAGGAGTGTTGTCGACGAGGCTCTCGCCCTCAGAGATGAAGGAAATGGAATGGGCGGTCAAGGCTCACATTACGGGCGGTGGATGCCAAGCCAGCTGGAGTCAGCTGAAACTGAGGAAGGCATCCTGACTATGCCTGTTTTGTACTAGCGCGCTGGTTTGTGCTGTCCATGAGGCATCATCCTTTGTCCACTTCAGTCCGTGCCCTTCGGTGTCCGCTAGTACCTGTGGGTCTTTTCAACCACTCAGGTTGAGGCCAAAAGTTTCTACCTATCAGATGCGTCGTATTCTCCAGCCACATGTTGGTCCAAGGTCTCTGTGTTATCTCACAGCGCCTAAACAGGGCAAATAGGGTCAACTAGCCAAGGACCGCACGTGCCCGAAGGGGACGGATAAGTAGCGGTGTGCCCCTCACGCTCCTCGAAGCCTTGAAGAGGATCGACGCCTTGACCCTTTTCAAGGCTTCGAGTCTCTGTCCATAGATGCCATAGCTATCTAGTCTTGGTTCATGCCTTCCATCGACCTCTCTCACAGCCTCCACGGGCTTCTGTTACACTCTGAAAGGAGGCTGGGGTATCACAGAGACACCGTGTCACTTGGCGTGAGGCCGCCCGGGGGGCATTGGCTGTCACTCTACTCGGGCGAGCGCACTGGTGCACCGACCCCATACCACGTTTATCCAGCTGACTCGTTTGAACCAATCGCCCAAGCGCCCAATTGCCCTTTGGGTGAGTCACGCGTCGGTTCCCTGCCACGTTCCATTCCCGGGCGTCCTCCATGCGCTGGCGGCTGCCTGCGTGACCGTGCACGGACCGTATTTCGGGTCTGGAACATCATGGGCGCCAGCACGATTGCGTCAAGAAGGGCGTGGGCGCACTAGTCACTTGACCTACTTTCGCGCCCTGTGCAGCATCGGGATTCCGCTACTCAGCATTGGGCGGCTCGGTATTGCATCACTCAGGGCCCGTGTATGAGTGCAATGGTGGTCTAGAACCACATTTTCTCATCCTGTTTTGGTGCGGCGCAAGAGATCTTTCTCCAGTGGCTTGGAGCATCGCCCACAGTGATGGTCCGTCTCGGTACTCTCAATATGCAAAGAAGACCACCACTGACCACATCTTGATGGCTGGTCCTTGGCAGCATTTGCGGAAACTAACTCTGTATATCTGCAAAAATACCGCGCAGGGTTTTGACACGCGACACTGCCACGTATGTGAACCCTTGGACTATCAGACCAGTTACCTAACTGAAGGGTGAATGTGTGTACTACGGGATCGATAATGATAGAATAACTAGCCTATAGATAGAGATGTCAACGCTTGAAGAAGGCTTCGAGGTTGACAGATGTAATCTCCCCTGCTATATCCATGCGATAAGCCAGCGGCTTGGCTTTCAGCCTGACTCCTTAGCTGGCGGCCTGAGCTGAGTGTGCAGTGTCACATATGTGAGCCCTTGGACCAAGTCCTTCTCTGAGACATCCACAATTGCTTTGCTCACTGTGATGCCCTGTACCTTGTGAACCGTGATGGTTTAAGCACTCGTGATCGGAAACTCTGTTCGAGCTGCTCACACATCACGGCACCACGATAGAACCTCCGCCCGGACCGAAAGATAGGGATCAAGGTCTCTCCATAGTCTTCAGTAGCGAAGGTAGGTCCGCTGTCGTGGTCAAGGCACACCAGAACAGCAACTGGGGCTTCCCGTGCCTATCAGTCAGCACCAGACTTCCACACAATGTCCCTCACAGTGCCTGACGCGCCATTCACGAGACCCCGCTCAATCCAGGTGTTCTCTGTAAGCATCGCACGGCTCCCGATCGTGAGCGCAAGCGAGACATGACGGTTGCCAGCCTCCCCCGAGGATGTATCCATGGCCTTTGCAGTGGCACTGAATTAATGGGACGCAAGCGCGATGATGATGGGGGCCTGTAGATCACGCAAACGGTCATGATTCCATTGAGCAACCCTCGTCTTCTTGCCGTAAATCCGTGAGACATCATCAAACGCTGGGATTTCAGACGGCACGAGAGCCTGGACACACGAACTCAGAAGCCTCCAGTCGTCGATTGTGACTTTGTCCTCACGTAAAGCATCAAGGGCATCACGAAAAGCAACTGATTCGATCGGCATCCTGACCACGCCGGCGCAGGACAACATCAAGCTCAATAGTCTTGTCACAACGCCTGTAAAGGCTCCTGGCAGCAATTTCCTCAGGATTAAGCGTTTGACCAATATAGTAAAGGGACCTCATACCAGCGGCAGGGAGTTGCCAGAAATCGCTGGTTAATCCAGGTCAATATCCTTGGTGGAATCATGGAATTTTCGTCAATGATGAGATCCCGAACATGGCGGAGTTCGCCGCTCTGTAACGCCGTCAGGTTTGGGATGCTGAGCGCTTCGTAGCCCTTGACAAACTTGACAGACAACTTAACCTGAACATGCAGTGTTCGCCCACTGATCGCGGGGGCGGCAACGCCAGTGGATGCCACACGCGTAACTGGACTGGCCTTTCCATGGCACCTAGCCATCTCTTCTAGTGTGGCCGAAATCAGCATGATAACGTGTGATTTTCCTGTTCCGGTCTTGCCATCGAGATTGACAAGGAGCAGTTTGTTTTGGAGCCCAGCAAGTTCAAGCTGATAGTGGGTGATTAAATGGTCATAAAGCTGTCTCTGTTTAGCCTCCAGGGCGTTTGGATCCGCAGATGAATAGACTTCGAGACTGGCAGGATTGATTAATCTTCAACTGTTTCCAGTATTCGTCTGGAAAGGTATAATGGCCAACATGAGGTGTCCGATCGTAGTGGCGATCGCAGTCGCAGTCTCCTAATCCCTCTGGATCCTCTTCACGGACACCATCATCTCGATGGGGGAGTTTTAAGGAGGACCCTTCAACATTGGCATTATCATCAACATTCAGATCCTCGAGACCATCATCCGCAGGCTCCGGAGGAAGTTCCTCCATGAAATCAGAGCTGAGAGTGCCAGGACGGGTTGAATTCCAGTAATCCCAGGCCTCAGTAAAGGTCTCAAAGCCATCGTCGATGTCCAGCCTCTGTAATTCATCGGTATCGCGGAATGGGACATGAAGCATTAACTTCACCCTGGCGTAATCCTCCGAGCTTACCTCCTGCTTATGGCGAGGAAAGTAGTTCAGAACTCGAGGTTCTGCAAACGGTCGACGCTTTGATCTCCTCTGCGGAGCAACGGAAGTTGTACAGCCGGAGGAAGTCGAGGTACTTGAGATTGTCCAGGTGCTCAGGTCGCAGTTTGGGTTCTGCGGCGGCAACTGGCCGGCGCTGATTGTCTCGCCGCCATCTTCCAGTTGGTAGCGTGTTGATTGCTGTTCTTCAGGACGGCAATCGACATTCTGGACATCCGGAGTGCCCCCATCTGGAGAGGAAGACCGAGTAGAATGTGACACACCTCTTGGGCATACCCATCCCTCTCTCCAATGAGCCGATCCATGCATGGTCTTTGACACCAGCGATAATAGAGGCTTTCCAGTGCTCAGATGAGGCAGGATCTGTCGCATTACCTGCTGGTACGTCTCCGATTTTGGTTCTGCTTCCTAACGTAATCAAAGACGGCGCGAGACCCTGTGCAGGGCCGGATGTCCGTGTTTGCGCGCCAGGACATCGCAATCACGCGGCTGGAATCATCCAGGCGAGGATCGTTGCGGACAAACGTGAAACGGTAGCAAGTGCTCCTTGGTGTCTTCCCAATAACTGGGATTTCAGGACTCTGTGCTAGGAAATGGAAACGGCAGATGTGATTACTAGTAGCCTTGTCCTTGCAGAGACAGTATATCTCTGTACATTGATGTCTCTATGCTCGGTTAGCCGCCATCAACCCTCTGAGTTCGTTGTATTCCTCCCCTGGCAGGGGGGACAGAGGTGATTCATCCTGCCGTTCAGGCCGGAACCGTTCGTCAACATTAAGGGCTGTAACGTGACGGGCCCAGAAATCAACGAGTGGACCAAACAGGTTGATATTACATCCATGTCTGGATTTGGCCCGCCTTACATCCAGTGGATGCCGTGAGAGGGAGTGGAACCGCGGGCCTGCCATTCATAACGATTCCACATGTCCTTGATGTTGAACTTCTTATCCAAGATACTGTTCTCGAAAGCGTTGTATCTAACGTGGAACTACCATGCAATGATCAATAGATTGTCACGAACATTCCGCCGAGCGATTCGAATCCTTTCCAACAAAGTGTCTCATGAGAGAATCCCAGTGATAGTCCGCGGCAGACAGCATAATGAATATATGCGGAGACCCGAGGTTCTTAGCAAAGCCCTCCAATTGCTTGCGACGACCACCCTAAAAGAGCCGAGAACCCTGTAAACTCCCAGAATAACGCGCAATCGAATTAATAAGTGCTTGTACGTCGTGAAAATCCGCTTCCAAGGCGGCACGGAGATCGTCGATCGTCATCTCCGCCGTAGCATCTAGAGATCTTTTCACAAAGAAGCTCGCTCGGGTGTCGACCTGACTCCTCACTATGCTGTTCGATACCATGTAACGGAACCGAGGATGCTTCAGGAGGTGTTTGACCATGTCAACATAGCCGACTGTTCGCGAACGGGGTGTTACAAACTCAGCATCACCACTTGGAAAGAGACTGGGAAAGGCCCAAGACAGCATTCGCTGTATCCTGTGGAACTTGGAGAGCGGCGTGTGACGGAGAGAGGGGATCGTTCAATGGCGCTGTGCTGGCCTGATCTGATTGTGCAGCCTTTGAGTCTCAGCCTCAGTGGCACTGGGATCAGGAACAACCGATGTGCCTACCCCTTCGTCCTCGTCTGCAACATCTGTAACGTCCTGATTGTCATGATCCTGCTCCATCTCTGCCTCAAGCTCCTGAACTAGAAGGCGATCGCCAACAGGTGCATCCTCAGGCAACGTATACAGGTTGACAGTGCTGACCTCGATGTCTCTGTAGCCAGGATGGTGTTGACGGAGGAACTCGAGCCATCTGGCGACGACAAAGCGACGGGCACGAAAGTGTCCCTGAGGAAGTTCACGATGTGGCCTCGATAGCGAAATTGCACTCCACGGACCGGGCGGATCTCAATGAAGACATGGACACGAGCGATCAACATCTCTTCGATCTGTGCGAGCGGGAGAAGACCATGATCGAGAGCTCCAGGATCCCTGCTATTCTCACGGCTATAGAGGAACGGATCTGTGATCCTCTCTCGCCTGTTGGGGCCAATGCTGTCAACGCGGATGCAACGGGCGCAAACACAGTCATGGTTCAACTTCATGTCAGGCCATCGCTCTGGGCACCGGTAGTATTCCTCCATCTTGTCTGGCTTCAGGGCGTTCTCGCTCGGTTGGGGCAGGATGATCAGGATCGTAGGGATTCGGGGTTGGATCAGGCATCTGGATATTGTCAAGCTATATAGATGACGCTCGCTGTGAAGGACTCACCTGGCCGAAAACAGAACTTGGAGAATCATGAATCCATGATTGGGACCGTTGTGAGGATCCGGGAACTGAGACACGCCGCACCGGGCTCTCTGTTGACTGGCCGGCTAACTGAGACAACCCTGGCGTTGGAGATGTCTCCTCGCCTGCACGGGGTCGAGCTCGATGCTCTCTGGAGATCGCAGCTTGTTGTTTGCTGGCCTCAGCCTGAGCAGGAGTATCCTGAGGGTTTAGGACAAGACGCAAGAACGCAGATTCATGCTGCCTGACCCTTGGAGCATTTGTAGGCTCTCCTGAAGGAGGACGTGGAGGTTGGATTGGGCTGGACAATGGCACCTGTGCAGCACTGTGCACTTGCGTTTTTGGTTTACGGCACTCAACACACATGGCCGTCTCCTTGCCACCACGAATCACAGACGTAAAGCTTTCTCTAGGTCTTGGTTGATGGCACCGAGTGCATATTTTGTGACAACCGCAGTTTCCGAGGTGGAGCGAAAGCCATTCATCTATTTCAAGAGATATTCCAGAAGGTATTTGAGGAGGTATTTCCGGACGTATTCGAGGAGGTATTTGGGGACGCATTTCCGGAGGTGTTGGAGGCCTTTGTTTTCTTTTACGGCACTTAATACACTGCTTCGTCTCCTTTTCACCACGACGCACAGGTGTAAAGCTTTCTCTAGGTCTTGATTGACGGCACTTGGCGCATATTTTGTGATCATCGGAGTTTTCCGCCGGAGGTATTGGAGGCTTTCGCTGTTTTTCACGGCACTTAATACACTCCTTCGTCTCCTTGCCACCAAGACGCAGAGACGTAAAGCTTTCTCTAGGTCTTGGTTGATCGCACTTGGTGCATACTTTGTGACAATCGGAGTTTCCGAGGCAGACCGGAAGCCGTTCACATATTTCCGGAGGCATTTGAGGAAGCATTTGAGGAGGTATGTAAGGAGGTATGTGAGGAGGTATGTGAGGTATTTCCGGAGGCATTTGAGGAGGCATTTGAGGAGGTATTTGAGGAGGTATCTCAGGAGGCGTTCCTGCAGACATCAATGGGTCAGGCTCTGCAAACGTCTCGAGTTGTTAAACAAAGGTAGTAAAGAGACTGATTCGGTCAGTTTGATATAATCTAGGCGTGGAGACATGAATAGAGACGTGAACAGAGATCTCAACAGGATTGTTTTTACATGTCAAAGGGGTTGTTGTTGTGCGACAAGCCGATCAGGCTGCGCAGACACGTGACTGTACCACTGTAACAGCAATGGTGACCATTCGGACTGCGTGAACCTGTTCCGACCAACCAAATCGGCGGATATTTGGAAATTCTTGCCCCTGATATACTGTTTCGCTTCGCTCAACAGGATAAGATAGTTGAGGGAAACCCGTGGTACAGTTGACATGCTTGACGAACCCAATGATCCGAATAGCGAGAAGCTCCGCTCGACAAAGCCTACATTCATCCGTGATGGCGGCACAGTCGCTACTCCCAATGGTGACAATATCCTCTTAGTTACGGTCTTCGGCTTTATCAGAACGTTCAGGAGGCATCAATCCTTGCCCAGGAGGATATCTAGCCGAACAATTAACGGGAGCATTTCCACATGGAGTGTTTGGATACGCGGTAGGGGTGGGAGAATAGCTCTGAAGAGCAGAATAGGATTGGACATCGGGGGAAAATATTGCTGGGGTGAAACTCTCCTCCGATCACTATTAAGTCTTTAGTTTGCCACTGTTCCCATAACCAGCTTATCAATATAATCAGACATCTCTAACCATATATAGTCATACCTGGCCAGCTCTGGCGTCTCTGGGTCCCGGCGCATCCATATTGGACTAGTATTAGCGAACATAACCATCCATATCTAGATCCTGGCACAGTGCACTAGAGCCGACTTTCAACGTATCTGTAAACTGCCACACCGTCCTTTGCTGGAGCTTCTTCTAAAAGTAGTTCCATAACTCATACATGTGCGCGGAGCGTCAAGGCCGTTGCTCTATGTTCGCGAGTTCCACGTTTTGAAGAGGAAAGACTTTCTCAAAGTGCAGGGGTTGACAGACATATGAAAAGGCCATTACACTCCAGAGGCCCAACCAAGAGAATAGTCGTACTTGCTCAAAGTCCCAGAGCCGCGAGGGCGTAACACGAGGCTCTAGCTGGCCACATCCGTCTTCACTCCAATGGGCGTGATCTTGGTTCCGCTCTTTGGAATCCTCTGTGCCATTTGCACGTCCACGTCCACCTCGGCTGTGAACCCGCGCACAATCTCAACAGAGATGCGTTGTGGATTGGCAGTCGACGCCTCGGCAAAGAACTACCGGACCACGTTCGCGGTGAGAGGTACCTTTCTGGCTACCTTCGAGCAGGGTTGGGAGATTGACTGGGACAAACTTCCCGGTGCTGCCGTTCACATGTCCGAACTTCGCCCTCGACATTGTTCAGTATCTTCCACCATCTTACTCCATCTGGCCTGATGCTATATTCGCCGGCACCAGTAGGCCTACGGATCTGACCCTGGGTGACCAAGACTGGTTCCATGTATCCTGGGAGACATCAGTAGACGAAGTTGTCTCGGGAGGTGACAGCTCGACACAGTGCTTCTATTTCGACCCTCCGGTCGACGTGGCCCGTCTCGTTGGACACGCTTTGGCCTGACAGCACGACCGTGGGCTTTGTATGCCCTGTGTAGAAGAAGGGAATGACCTCAAACGAAGTTGGACACTGCGAGTGCGGATCCCCCAGACCCCATATGAAAGGCGAGTCTTGTGCAGCGAAGTCCATAGTCAGGAGATGTTTGCAGCCAATCACTTGAGAGAACGCGGGGCCATACCATGCTATGCCCTCATCCCAGTGCTAAAACACTGTGCTGTGAGACGATGCAACCGGTACCAGCATCGACATCATCTCGTCATCAGTCAGGTAGAAAGTCGTGTCCGAGGAGCCGCAGAGCAGACGGACCGCTGTTTCGTCTCCTAGTCCATGTTGGAACGAAGGCGAGACCGGATATGCACCTCCTCGATGGACGCACTGACATGGTAGCAGACATGATTTTCTGCATCTGAACGTCAGAAGAGAACGTGTGTATAAGGAGTGTTGAAGAAGTCATCAAATTTACTCCCGACAGGACTGTGGCGACCACTCTGTCCACTCCCGCCCAGCATACTTTGTCAGCCTTCGACAACGGGAGAATGAGGGATCTTAACATACTGTGTGTAGCCGCGTACGCTTTAGCGTTCCCCCTGTGGTGCTCACACCGTGTGGCCGCCGCCAACGCTTCCACCACTCCAGGGGTCGCACATCCTTCAGCCGCTACAGAACACAGACATGGTGAACGCGGTACGTGATGCCTTTTGGTGGAAGGGTTCTTGCCACCGTACAAGGACTTGGACACAGTACTATGCTGAATGTCACCATAGCAGTCCTGGCCACCACTCGGACCGCGTGCTTGACGCTCATGTTATACCGGGGGTGGCGCATGTTGGGTGGATGTAGATCCTCCCGAAATGAGCGTAATGTCAGATACAGGAGAGATCACGTACCTCAACGTAGTGAACTTCACCCTCGGCATTCCATTCGCGGACACGTACATAGGCCCACCCCCATCCTTCCATAGTACCGTGCAGGGCTTTGGAAAGGCTGTCATCAGGTTGCTTGCTGAGGCCGTCGACTCGGGAATGCTGTGGTGTCCTCCGGGATGCGCGCTCGTCAAGAAAAGGAGTGGGCTTATGGGCCGAGGACGGAGGACGCGTCCGAGTGCATGGATAATGTGCAAGCTGCAGGCCTGAGATTTCTCACAGTCTTGACGGTTCACGCCTCGATGGAAAGTGACAAAGCGGCCAGCATGAAAGTGTTTTTTGAAAATGTGTACCCATACCCCTGCACCACTGTGCCGTCCACAGGCCTGTTTCGGAACAGGTCACAACAACAGCTTCGTAGACTTCTCCCCGTTCGAAGGAGAAAAAGAGAGCCGACCTCGAAGCTAGATTCTTTTGAAGCGGAGCACATTAGGTTCATATGTGGCCCGTACCCCCATTCATATGAAGCAGGAAAGTCTGGGCGTCTCACCCAGAACGTATATATACATTAGGCTGTCAGACCACGAGACATACGAATGTGTAACCACTCTCCTGGAGCGGGGAAGCGTCGAATCACCTGACAAAGACCATACTCTCGGAGAGATTCTCTCTCTTCGAGTTCGTATTCATGTTATCAGTGCTGTACACTTGTGATGTGTAGCGCTGTGACACTCCTGCCTATCAATAAATTAGTGAGAAGTTCTTCAAAAGGTTTTTTGGTCCTGACGACGAGTATCTGAGTGATACCACGAGAGTGACCGAACCAAAGATCGAGAGATCGGTGTAGGATAACTGAGGGGGAGGAGTCGCCTTCCACGCACACAGACACCGCCATCTCACAGTCACAGATGTAATCGATGTGATAGCCTCAACATGCATTGGATTGATGTAAAATGTGTGAGTAGAATAACTTGGTTGATTAGGAGGAATCTATCTGTCTAGCGCGCCTGGAACTTTGTGTGCCGCAGGGTAAGTTACTCCGTATTCGGCTAACCTTCGGCATCGGGTTAGGGTAACAAATTGTAGTACGAAGGACTATTTAAAATGGTTGAGATTCCTATTATGTGAACAGTCTCTCAAATGGCAGACGAATCCCGCGCATGGGGGTGAATTCCCAGGAGGCACTTGGACCGATGCCAGAGGGTGGGTTCCCAGGTGGGTTCCCAGGTGGCACTTGGACTGATGCCAGAGGACCACGTCCGTGATACAAAGCCTCTGCTACTGGGTTGGCCTTGGTGGTGGCCCCACGCCGAATGCTTACGGCGGCGTCCATGATCATTGACGCCTCCCGTGCCGCTACTACGTGACGGACGATGATAGGATCATCGACCATGCCGAACTGAAGGCCCCTGTTGCAAACAGACAAACCTTTCCAACAGTGGCTGAACAAGAACTTGATGAAGATGCCCCGAGTATATGAGGCGATTAGCAAGGATGCCTAAATGGCCGCGGCAGCGAGGTCAGGCAACGGCGAGATCAGGAATAGCAGGAATAAAGAGAATTATGTTCAGGAGAATTGACCTCTATTTGTACAAATTCGGTGGTGTCACATTCTACCGAACACTAGGCGAAATCGCCCCCCCTCTCTCCCCCGCCCCCGACTTTGTGTCAGGGCGGATCCTGCCACTCACCAGGTGGTTGTAGTGGTGGTGGTAGTGGTGGTAGTGATGGTAGTGGTGGAGGTGGTGGCCGCCACAGGAGCAGAAGCAGGAGCAGAGAAAGAACCGGGAGCAGCCCGGACGGTGTCGTTGCTGTTGTTGTTGCCGTTGCCGTTGCCGTTGTTGTTGCCGTTGTCGTTGTCGTTGTCGTTGTCGTTGTCGTTGTCGTTGTCGTTGTCGTTCAGGTCGTCGTCGTCGGCCCGCCTCATGGCGAGGGCGGCCTCGGCCTCGCGAAGCTGGGCCCGCAGGTTGCCAATGGTGACCTCTTGGGCGGCGAGACGGGCGCGGGCGGAAGAGAGAGCGGATCGAAGGAATCTGATGGTGGCTTGGGTTGACTGTTGCAAGTGTCAGTTCACTCTGGCCTTTAGAAGGGAAGATGTTACTCACTCTCGACATTTTGTACTGGTCCGAGGAAAGAGAAGAGAACATGATGCGAGTGAGGCGAGGCAGCTCCTTTTGAAGGATTCTGCCATGGCCACCTGCTCCTGCCGTCACTGTTTGAGATCTCGCGCTCCTGCCATTCTGTCGCTGCCCGACACCGCACAGTATCTTGCAGAGCTGTACTCATGCTGGCTGTCACGGACCTGGTCCCCTGGCACGTGATCAACATGCAAATCTCAACCCTTTCAGATAGTCCTTCGTACTGCAATTTGATCAATTCAGTGCCTGTTGAGGCTACCACATCGATTAGATCTGTGACTGTGATACTTTGGGCCTCGGGTCTCGCTTTCTGGGTGCTGTACACCGATGAGCCTGTGCGTTTGGCGGCGGTCAAAGAGTAGAAGTTGTATTTTTTCCCTTGATACCTCAGTGATTCTTTTGGGATTTCAGCAGATCGGTTGTTACAACGGCACCTCATATCACGGCCTGACCGCCTAGCTACCCCACACGAGGCTGAGGGCGTGCGCATTCCTCACGCCGATGTAGTTACTCTAGTCAGACTCCTTCGTCTCAGAATTCATATCATAATTGCGCCCTTAACAGCGATCTCTTCTGTTCAAGGCTGCGCCGTGATACCTCAGTACAAAATAACCTCTTCTCTCTCTCTCTCTCTCTCTCTCTCTCTCTCCATCTCATTCCACCTCCTGACTTACCCCTTTCCCTCCGTGTCCACCCTTAGCACTTTCATTTTGACATAACTACGTCGTACCATGCTGCTTCTCAATCACTACACAAGA